AATTTATTTCAAACGCACGCTGGCTATAATATCCGTAACTGCACTGCCAAGCCACGCCTACATACACGATTTATGATCTGATTAAGGTTACGTCGTCTAAGACGTTCAGAACAGATTTTGAACTGAACAACTGCACTTTCTTAAAGTTTGACATAACAATTAACGTTTAAATTTTCCATATATATTACTAAAATGTTATGCCAATTGAGAGGCTGTTTCTTCTGAATGCTTCCTATATTTTCCTATGTTTTGAAAACCGTCAGTTTTACTACTAGATGGGTCTGGCACCTCGTCTCTTTGACGCATGTAACAGCTTAGCCACGTTCTTGAGAAAAATACTCCTGACATGAGTTGGAAGTCTTTTGTGCAATAAATCTATACAGAAAGATGACCTCTTTTTTTAGATCATATTTGTTACTGATACCATAAAAAGTAGCAACTCCCCGTCACTATCTGCGACCATGCCTCGACGTCTGTCCGCGACGTGTAACTTAGCCCAGTTGCTGATATCGCAGATAGAGGCGCATCGCGCTAATTGAATGGAGTGGGACGGACACCTGTCATTTCAGGTATGGAGAGCTGTGGCAGGCGACGACAGCAAGATCCTCGACGGAACAAGGCGAACGCCAGGGAACGCCATAGGATGCATGGTTTGAACGCGGCACTCGACCGGCTCAGAAGGTTACTCGCGTCCTGTGTTGTGCTGTGTATTGTGATCTTACATCTGGGAGTCTGCTGTGTCCATAAATCATATTTTGTGCTATGTATTCGTACGCTCCTTAAATCCTATACGTTGTCACGTTCTGTATTGCATCATATCTTTATACTTCATGTGCTTTGTCTTTTTAAACGCTATAATGTAGACCAATTGGTCATTGGTGTGTCCCGTAGTTAACCGTCTCGTTGCATTCGAAATTGAGTCGTCTTGCATAACGCTAAGTCATTATACTCTGCTTAATTTTGTGTCTTCATATTCTGTGCTGTGTTTGCTGGTCCTGATGTCCTGTAAATTTTTGTCTTCTTACGTGGTGTATTAGAACGCTGGCCTTGTAATACTGGGGTCTCGGGTTCGATTCCCGGCGGTGCCATAATTTATAACTTGTGTTGGGCAAGGCCGTGGTCTAGGCAACACGGAGTTTTCCTCCGTGGCATCCCAACAATTACTCCATTCACACACAGAAGAAGGCAACGGCAAACCACTTCTGGATCATCTGCCAAGAACGTATATGAACAGGTCCCAGTCCGAGAAAAGGATGGAAGGATCCTGTTCATATAGATCTGTCGTCAGACAGAACACTAAATAAGAAAATACGTGGTGTATTATTCCGTCCTCAAGTTCTGCGTTGTACTACGCCATGGACCAGAATCCAAGTTGAGAAGCTAATATTACGCTCATATAGACAAATCTACCTAATTTTATGGATATAGTGCGGCATGGGGGAGATAAGAATTGCGCATAAAATGAAGGTTGAGAAGCTTAAACAGAAGGGACCTCTCCGAAGACCTGCGCGCTGATAATAGGTTAATGTAGAAATGGATCATAGAGAAAGAGGATTTGAGGTGTGGATTGGATTCAGCTGGCTCAGGATAGGGACATGTGGCGGACTCTTGTGAACACGCTGATGAATACTGTGAGTGTTCTTCCCATGCCATCCGCCTTGATTTTATCACCTTAATGATTTCTGGTCGAAGAGTACAATCTACGGAACTCCTCATTATGCAGTTTTCTCCAGCTTCCAGTCACTTTGCCCTTCTTAGGTCCAAATATTCTCCTAAGCATTCTCAATCTGTGAACTTGCCCTAGGTTTTATGCTCGTACAAAACAGCTTGTAAAATTATAGTTCCGTATATTTTATTTTTTTGAAAACTAGCAATGGCTGGGGGTTCGTAGTGCTGACCACACGTCATCCTATATCTGGTCGGATGATCGTTCTCCTCGGCTTAGACATGTGAACGTGAGGCCAGCAGTCAAGCTAGTCGGCTTTGACTCTCAGAGGGCTGTCACGCCACAGATTATTACGTATTATATTTTATTTTTAACGTTTTAATCGTGAATGTAATTCTTTCTCTGTCGTTTGTACTTGCCAAGCTTTCGAAGGATTTATTAGCTGCCTTTGTGCAATAATTTTGTCCTGTATGTCTTGTGACGAGACATGACCGTGTAAAAATATTAGTTTTTATTTAATTTACATTGTGGAGTATATATGAAGTATAATCCAGAGAATATAGAGACAGATATTCACAATAAACTTACACTATTAATATTTTTCTAAAATACAGTTTTCCCGTTGAATTGCGATGGTTAATTAACTAGTGTTCTCTTAAACGTCCATCGTTTTAGCATTTGGTAATTTCGGTCACGAATGTAAAAAGTGTGATGAAGCTGTGTTCTGTGGTTACCTTTTAATGACTTCGAATCCGTCATCCAGCTGTCATGAAACGCAGATGTTGATTACAATCCGCTCGTATGTTTAATTATAAATTCCTTCAGATGGTACGACTGTGCGCCTTCCGCACTTCTGGAATGGGAACACCACTGGTGTCGTTCAGTCTACGAGTCTGACAGTTTGTATAACAACTCCTTTGGGAAGACGCGACTTTGTTAAATTTGATTTTTGTCGGAATGAGATAACTAGACGACTGAGCTTTCCACCTATCCGTTTTGCAACAACATCCTGACAACTTTATTCGGAGTTTACGATGTTTCCACAGTCGCATTCCGCTCAAGAACGCGCGTACCAGCTCCCAGCAAAAGCTCTCCAAGATCGAGACGTTGCGCCTGGCACATAATTACATCTTTGCGCTATCCCAAATCCTCGCTGAGGGCCGTCCCATGGAAAGAACCCGGCTTTTGCACGTTTTGGCCCGCGGGCTGAGCCAAGCCACAATCAACCTGCTCACTGCCTCACTGGGGCTTGGTCCCATTCACTGTCAGGTACAGTTCCCATTCAAGTATTGTACAATGCTGCTTCAGATGGGAACAAGTTCGTGTCTGACCTGAAACTCTTGATCACAGAACTCACCGCCTTGTGCCTGCTCCTGGAACATGGCGTCGCAGCCACTGAGCGGTTACGCAGCCAACTGGTTCATGCAAGACACCAACGCGGTGTCAGGACGAAGATACAACGTCCCTCAACAGCAGCAACAAAGTATCAGGGAGAAGTTGTAAAAAGGCGTCCCTCAACAGCAGCAGCAGCAAAGTATCAGGGAGAAGTTGTAAAAAGATTCCTTACAACCATAAATCAAGGGATAACTGAAGGGCGTAGAAAATTGTCAGGACAAAATTTTAACAATTCACACGACCATAAGAACTCGTCAGGACGAAGTTTTATTATGCCTAATGCATAGAAGCATAAATTAAAGGAAATGTGGACGATCAATGTTTTACGACATCAGAACTAGAAGTTTACCGCCAATTACCCCGAATTGGAGTCTTTGAGGAGGGGGCTAAATGTGTGCATGAAATTAAACTTACGCAGGGGTGGGTCTCTTCTTGTTATTTTTAAGTCTCTAACAGTATGGTACCAGAACCCGAAGGCTCAGTACAGGTAACACCAAAGCTCGCGAATGTTGGCCACGGTCCAGAGGTAGTTTCCTGAAACTTCCGTCTCCCTAGCAAATATTTCCCAAAAGTTGTCCCCATCAAAATTCTGTATTTACTTATACACTCCCCCATCCTAGTCTAGTCCATATAAAGCTCCTGCATTTTACCATCGTAGAAACACGAGGTAACCTATTCCGTAAATGGCGAAGTTTATTTTTATGTAGAAAAGAAAAAGAAAAACAGAGCTTTGCACACTGTTGCTAATAGTGACAAAGTGACTCATGAACAAGGTGATAACATCAAGCGACTTGCATTTCAAACGTTTAACATTTCCTTTTCCAACAGCTGAACGTATTGTGTAGGCCTAACAGTAATTTTAGTGTAGAACTAAGATCAGAGGTTACTAAAAGTTAATTATTATTGCGTACAAATTACTTAATCACATTGATCGTGTGGCTTTCCCGCCAAACGGTATAAACAGATATGATTATTTTGCTGTGGATTACCTGTACATGTATACATATGCAAATATTGTACCTACAGAAAAATTAAATGCGTGCTGTATTATCGTTTTAATCATTCTTATTATACAGATTATTCATATGCTTCATATTTCTATAGTTAATGACACCTGCAGAGTTTCAGTGTTTCTGAGTTGCAGTTATTACAGTTTTAGGTTTCCGACGATAAAATTCTGTTCCTTCGTTCTTACGTTAGCTGGCCTGAAAGAAATGGACGGTCATTGGTTGGAAAGAAGGCTTTCTAATGCCCATGTTCATGCAAAATATTTGTTGTTGTTTTTGTATGCAGAATTTCTCTTACATAGTAAGTTTCTTGCAAAGCAGCACTTTTCATTACGCGCTCCACTTAACGTCATCTAGCGCCAAATTTTAAAAATGACGTGTTTTATTTTGTAAGGCGTTCGACAGATGGCAGGATAGTTGTTCGACTATCCGCTACACTCCCTCTACCTTTGGCTTGTGTAATGTTTCCATTATTTTCTCTTGAGGAGCGTGTCATTCATTATATTAAGATGTTTCGACCTAAACTCCCAACGGAGTTTCAATTCAACTCCGTTATTGATTGCACATTTGTCGGTACCCACTAAGCTAAATAATTTAATAAGAAAAGTACACAAGTCTGCAGTCGGCAATCTTTACAGAAGTCGGTCAATGACGGCTCAATCGGGCAATCAGTGGGAAATTCATTATGTGGCATCTGTCATATGTTGTAGATGTTGGTATTAACTTTATTTTCTCCGTGTACTGTGTGACGTTCCAGGAATTAAAACGAGAAGCCGAGAATAGGGACAACTGGAGAGCTCTTTTTGGGCAGAGCAATGGACCTATCGTAAGACAGAACACCTAATAATAACTGTGTGGACTATGGGCGACTGTTATTTAAAATGTGAATGATTGCAACTCGTATAGAAAATGCGCAATAGGAAGAGAAGGGCAGCTTACTAGCATACTTCTGTTGTTTGTGGTAAAATACGAACGCAACGTTGTGACATTTGATCAAGACGTTCCAGATTGCAGAAACATCTGATGCTTCCGTAATGGAGGTAAAATAAAGGTAAATTGTATTATTATTATTATTATTATACACTCCGAAACTATTTTGCAGTGTTAACTGTGATATTAATATTGCAATGTGATATCAGAAGGCTCTGTATTTGTTGTTCCTTGCTGATTACGAGTAATTCTTTCAGTTGCAATCAGTCCCCTCACAAATTGAACACCAACTTTGGTCACACCTGTTTTTGAGTGATGATTTTATTAGGTGATCTACCTTTTATTTCCTGCTTTACATAAATGAAGATTCAGTCATGTCAGTTTACTAATTTGTATTTTGTGCATGCTAAATTTCTAACCTGTGTATTGTCTACACAGAGACAATATAAATTGCATCCTGAATGGTAGAAATGCATTTTCACTGGAATTCTATTTTTGGATTTCAAACTTCAGTGTAAAGTTTATACATTTCCCTTGAGTCAGACAGTGGCTTTGGTGGGAGGAAGGGCTTAACATGTTTCAATCTTAAATGTTCATTACCTGGCTCCTTTCCTTCTACTTTTAACAGAGGTCTGGACATATGTCCATCAATTACATTAAGAGTTTAACGAAAAAGGTCTTTTGCAGATTTCTACTGACATATATGCCCCAGTTCCTAAGAACATTTAATCAAGTCAACCCTTTTAGACCTTTGTTATCATCTTGTAATCTTCATTGTTCATTTGTATGCCCTTGGATCAAACCACATAAGAAGGCATTTTGTTTGCAATTATCTGCTAACACACTCATATTTAATTAATATAGGATACTTAGTTTTACTGTGTCAGTGGTCATTCTCACATTTCTTATCTCCAACTTTATGACCAGAAACATTAACATAGTTTTTTACTGTAAAGGTAGCCCTCGATTTACGCCGGGGATGCGTCCCTGGAATTCATGTAAGACGCCGACCTACAGAAAATCGCGTAGTAAAAATAACCCCGGTACCTCCGCAGAGATTAAATTAGTCCTTTGAAAGTTTAAAGCTCCATGAATGAAATTGCATAAGAGCAAACTCGCATATGCAAAAGTTTGCATTTCACAAACACTTTCAGGTTATTCTCCATCGCTTATGACAAATGACTGTCTTGATCATCAGTTCAGACATACCTCTAATCATTATAACTTACATATACTTGAATAATCATTAGAAGACTTTTCCTCTGTTGAAAAATTTTCAGAATGTGCATTTCTTTTTTTCTTTTTTAAATTACTGTTAAATTGATGCTGATTATCAGTTAGGATATTCCTATGAAACTTATTCATGCTAAAGAAAAATTATCTAGAACAAACGAAACATAACCAAAAACTGACTTACATGACTATGATTGTGAACAAGTTGTTGTTGTTGTATAATAATGATGTGCTGCCCTTACCAAAAAAATATATGTTATGACTTATTTCTCTATCATATTCAACAGGAAACAGATATAATTCGGTTTTTTCTTTCTAATTTCATGACATACACCATTGTCATTGTCATCAGGTCAGTTGTACTGAAAACTGCGTTTGTAACACAGTACCAGTTTTATTATTACATAATAACACTAGGAAATAGGCCACTGCAAACATTGACAAATAAAAAAGTATCATTTACTGGTCTCTGGTTATTAGACATTCCAGAGATTCACCCCTTACTCTGAAGAGGATAAATGCCATGGAGAATGAAATAGCCCAGGTCTTCACATCCTGTGGCCCACTGATGTGTTTTTGTGTGGCACACATACGTTTTTATAAATTGTTTCATCCTTCATGGCAAAACAATAGTTACCATGTAATATTTACATAATTTTAAGTGAATATTTATTGAGTGGCAAATCAACTGTTGTTCTAAAGAATGTAGTTGAGTTACATGTATACGTGTGTTTATGGGCATGTGTCTATGTGCCTATAGCTCAAGAATGGATACACAAATTTGCGTCAAACTTGGCATTATTCCTTTAGACCAGAAGGAGATTTTAGGAAGATAAAAACTTCGGAAAAATTTCATGAGTTTGAATCCCTTTAAGGGTGGTTTCTGCAGCTCAAAAATTAAGCAGGATAGAACAATGGAGTCCTGAGTTTGAATCCCTTTAAGGATGGTTTCTGCAGCTCAGAAATTAAGCAGGATAGAACAATGGAGTCAAGACAAAAGTTGTTTGTTTCAAAAAGATTACAGAAATAAGTACCAGGGTCCTGATAACCTGTCCCCCATATAGCTTCATTACCGGTAGCTGCTGTTGAAAATTCATCATTTACCTCTGGCTGTTAATGACACGAGCGCTACAATCAAAAGTGATACAGGTTTTTCACTGGCAACTTATTCCACAAGTCTGAATCATGATATAAAGAAGTGAAAGGATATTTCCTCTCTCACTGCTACTCAATAAAAGAATTTGCCTCGACCCAAAATTAGCAGCTATTATAAATACTTGTAACCAATAGAGTTTATGCTTTCTTGTGCAATTACTTTTACAGTAAAACTGTACTTGACCATAAATTACTGTCGTAAGTAGTTATAAAGGAACTATGAAATGTAATAAATTATGTAATTAGTAATGTTTTCTCCTAAAGTAACCAGATGTTTTAATAAACTCAATCACATTTTGGACTTCTGTCCCAGGTACATGGTTAAGGACTTGGCATATTTCTCGAGCAAAGGAAATAATTATCGTGGATTCCTGAATGACTGTTATTCTTATTAAGTAATTAATTCCAGCTGTTCAATGAAAACTCTTGTTGTTATGGAACCAATGTTTGCATCACTATTACCACAAAATTCTAACATTATACACTATCCTAAGCTGGTTCAGTCTTCATAATTAAACAGTATATTCTTTATTAAAGTTACCTTGCCAGTGTGTTTAAATTTAATGGGAGCGTTAAGATCCACACACACACAAATTTAGTTCATCTGGTGGGCAAGTTGTGTGTGTTGTACAGAAGCAAGTTTCATTCACTGCCCACAAAATATTTGTTTTTTTCTGAGAAAGTAATGAAATGGATACACAATCTTAAGTGAGCAAGGCACATTCAGACTACCTCCATTTCATCTTCTCTTCCTCCTGTGTCAGTGGTCATAAAAACTATTTTGTGCTGTCATCTATCCATGGCCATCACATCCTTTGGATGGCCGTAAGGAACACTTAGAACTTTTATGTACTCTGCAGTACACCTTTTCAGTTATATCAGTTCTTAAGATGTTGCAATCAGAGTCTCACAGATAACAGAAACTCACAAAATTTTTGAGTATTTTCTTGAAGGCATAAATCAGTTAGGAGGAACTGTGTCCATTAAAGAACCATCTTTACTACACACTGTACTCACAGCTGTTATTTGTTCTATGAAATGTTCACTTTATTGCTGATTTGTTTCTCACTTCGACTGAGCAAGTAGCTGTTTTATGGTATATGCAGTTATTTTCTACATGAAGTTACTGTTCTTTCACTTTTAAAAGTTCATAGTATTGTAGATTCATCACAGACACCATATGTTTTCACGGTACAGAACTTTTAATAGATTCAGAACATTTTGCTTTGTCTTCAAAGCAAAAACTATTGTAGGCTTCATTTAGAAAATGTCTTTATCACTATGTGTGAAAAATGCAACCCATATTAGACGCATTCTGAATAAACATGGTAGTTTGTTTCTTAAAATTTCATGGGCAACAATAAAAAAAGTTTTCTATTGTCCCCATTCTGAATAAACATGATAGTTTGTTTCTTAAAATTTCATGGACAACAATAAAAAAAGTTTTCTATTGTCCATTAGAGATGTGTAGTCTCATCCCTCTGTCTCAGAGCTACTCTTTCAGCAGGCGTACTTGAGGTGGAGGTGTTAGGCTTACGTATTGCACTCCTCCGAGTCCAATAGTGACGGGACTTCTTCTCACCAAGCACAAAGAATAGAAAGAGCACAAAACCCTGAAGGGTGGCAGTGATGCAAAATAAGTAGGCACACAATGTGCTGAAGCCAGCCAGCAGCCCAAATATCCAGGTGAGCCCAAGCAAGAAGAAAAGCAGCACACTGGTTGCCACCTGACGCATTGTCAGCTTCCTCTCAGACTGCATGTGACGTTTTATGGCACTACCCCTGCAAACATGCTGCAGTATCATGCCAAACACAATCATATTTGCTGTCACAATCATGAGCACAGGGCACAGTACGGCCAGATAAAACGCAAGACCCCCTGGATAACAGAATCCCCGTTCATCAGGTGCATAGACCTGAATGTCCACAGAAAGAAGTACTGTAACTGGTAGCAGGGGTGCACCCCAAGCAAATAGACAGGCCTTTAGCAGCAGGTGAGGAATACGCTGAGACCCAAAAATGGTAACTAGACGCATGAACTGCAGGGCAGCTGACACCAACATCCAACAGAATGATGCTAGTACAGAATAATGCAGCAATACACCTAGTATTATGCATGGAGTATTTGTGTGCAGCATCCCTGTGGCTGTGATAAGGAATACAAGCATATTGAGTGACACAGCAGCGGACAGGTGTAACAGGATCTTGTTCCCAAGTTGTGCACGCCACTGCCTAAATGCTGCACCGGTCAGAAAGATACCAAGAAGACCCACAAGGGACAGTGAGCATCCCAGAACTGAGATGATGTCCAGTACAGTTTGATGTATTGGGTCCATGTCCACTCCAGGTGGCAATATTATCTCAGCAAAGTGTGTAAGATGTGAACAGCGACACACGTCACGCACACCTGCAGTAGATGTCACTAACTCACAGCCTTCAGTGGACCAAGCTCCTCCAGAGAGAGTAAAATCCCAGAACACACAGCTCTTGTCACCCATCTCTGCCCAAGGTCTGAACACAATTTCCACATATTGCTCACTCTGAAACTGTGGGGCACCAACCATGGTGATGCTGACTATGCGGCTATTTGCCTTGTGCGCTGGATCCTGGAAAGCCCTGTCATCACTGAAGATGGCAAGAGCAATGTGTGAAATGTGGGCGGTAAGTGATTGGGGCAGCAGCACAGCCACATCCACCTTGGACGACATAAGTTCTTGCTCAGAATTGATGATGGATAGAACGCTTCCTTCCAGGTCTCCACTATTTCCACTGCTTTCTAGGGCAACTGCTATGGGTGGCTGTTGCTCCACGTTGAGCACAAATGTGGCCACGTGTGGCATAACATCCTCTACACTTTCTCCGGGTGCCAAGCGCACCCGAGTCAGCACAGCATCCAGCGAGCGCACAATGGAAGTCACATCCTGACGATCGGTGGATAGGATGGAGTAGTTCATCTGCAGTAACAAGATGAAGTGAGCAACAGGGACCATGCAGGTGACAGGTTCAAGTACTGCATTCATAACGTTTATGCTATAAAAAACTAAATAATGGCAAAGGAGTGTGAAGGTAACAGGTGAAAGGAGTGAATCCCCAACATTCACATTCATGTACTAACAAGATGAAGTAGATAGCAAGGAGTGTGCAATTTTCAGGTTCAGGCACTACGCTTGCAATATTTCTGCTCTGTACAAGACAAATTAAATGATGAGGAGCATGTACATAAGTGACAGGTTCAAGTAATGTATTTGCAATGTTTATATAATGAGACAAAGCAAACAGCAAGGAGCATGCGAGTGATGTGTTCAAGCAATGCATGTACCTGTAGAGCCGTATCCACCACTCTGGTGGCAACTTTGAGGTCTGTGGGTGAGATGACACCCTTCCGGGCAATAGTCTGCAAATCGTGTGCTGCTCTGCTCAGGTTTACATTTGTGAAGGAACACAAGGGAAGCCAATTCAATTTCAGTGGGTGTGGTGCAGTGAGGTGCAGACCCATACTTGTTTTCCAAGAACATGTGCGAGCTGCTTCTATACAATTTCTGTTGCTGTAGGTGTAAGTAGAACCTGAAGAGAAATTTAATAAGCTCTTTGTTTTCATACCAAATTGGTGTGGCTTCCCTGATTTTCACAAATTAGGTATTAGATACCATAACCTTATTCTTCTATTATTATTAATGTGAGTTAATGAGAAGGCCTCACTACCTAATCCCATTAGAGTCATGACAGTGAATTTTACTTAATTTTACTTTAAATCATTTAATCACTTCATTCTTGCATAGAATGTACTTAAATATTAGTATACAGTTAGGTTTCAGTTCTTAAAAGAATATTATCTGGTTGCTGTTAAAATGGATATGTTTATACGATCTTACAAGAATGCAACATTTTACCCTGATTTCCTGTCTGTCTTTTATTTTTCAAAAGAGATGATAATTCCTGTCTGTCAAGAAATTATTGTGGTTAAAAATTGGGCCTTAAATTGTTCCTGTGAGACATCCATTTTGAAAGTTGGTATTCTATAATCTTCCCATTAGTAAGTCTCATGGTTAGGATGCATCTCCTAAAGCCTCTCTTACTTTAAAGTCATTCCCACTTTCTGATGACCTGTTCATTGATTCTGTCAGTTGGCAGTTTAAGCATGAGGACTAAATCTTTTGTGGAGAAAATGGCATTATCAAATCTTTAGTAACTTTAGGTTTCATTTTTAAATTTTTGTTTCTTTTGTTTTTTTGTGTTGGTAGCCTCAAGACTGTGCATTTGTCATATCTGATCCAGTCATTCTACAATGTATGTTGTTTCCAGGTCCGTTTGTTTTTGTGACTTCATAGTTATGTTTCATTAAGGCAAAGCTCGTGTAAATAATAATAATTAAAAATTTAGTTCCTCCCTCAAAGAAATTAAAACATGTCCATTTCACAAAGAACAATTGGTTAATGCTGTTTATGGAAGTAATGCCTGTTTGTTTGGAAATGTTGAAAATCCTATGGCATATACTGCATCTCATTTTTGCAGTTTGTAAGTAGGCATGGTGAATGCCAAATTACTGTCAATTGTTTCTTTAATAAATTTTTCCCCTATTTGCCTCAGCATTTAATCAGTATGTATTCTATCTTTAATTTATGTTCATATAAAATAAGTATCCTTATGATAACAGACCTATAATCAAATAAGTTTTAATGCAGTGAAATGTCAGTTATGCTGCTTATTCTTTGACATTTTGGACACTTCACACTAACCTCTCTATCTGTGTTCCATTTACTGTAGATTGATACTTACCCAACTTGATTGCTGGCCAATAGCGTTCGACTCCATTCTCATCCTTCTGTGTTTGTGCTGGACATGTCATGTTCTGCTCTGTCATCAGCTTTATGGCACCAGAGTGAGTTATGCTTACACCCTTACTGCTCACTGATCCTCGTTCATTTGAATCGCCCACGTTCCATTTGTCAGCTGTTGTAGGATCTTCTTCTTGAGGGTTCAACTGTTCTATCAAACTCCTCAGGATTGATACTTGCTTGTGGCTTATCAACTTCCTCCTGTGATACGTATTGCTATGAAGCCCGTTGGAGTCCTCACACCAGTACCGTCCTTCATGCTCCACCAGCACCTGATACGTACTAGGTGATACTTTCAAAATCGGCAGTGAGTCAAAACTTGCGTTGGAGTGGCACTGGGGTGGATGTGACACTTGAGCAGTTGTATGTAACCACAAGGCCCCATCCCTGAATCAGAATGCACTTGTAAGGGCTCTGATCATACAGTTCAAAATGTGATGTGTGTGGGATAGGATTAGTTTTTTGAAACTTCTCTTACATTAATGAGTGTTTGGCAATGGACTCATGGCAGTATAACTGTTACCATAGTGGTGAGAAAATGTCATTACTTAATCCCAGAAGACCAAGTTTTGGTAGTGTAATTATTAAATTTGGCATTTAGTAACTCCAAAGTAACATAACCATTGCATTTTGTGTGGAGGAAATTTTGCTACGTGATTCCGTATTGGTAGCACCAAATCATAGCTGTGTAATTTGTACATCAAAATGAATGGGGGCAAGATGATCGAAATTAAACCTTTCCTATTTGAATGCTGTCTTCTTCACTTTCACTACATTTTCAAAGACAAATTACATGTTTGTTAGTAGTTAGTTATGGTGGTTGATAATGGAGATTTTACTTGAGGTAATGGAATGTTGAATGATCCATTGAATATGGAAAGTGTTGGTAGGAATGGTACTATTTTCAATTGTGTTATATAATTCATACATGCTTTTTAATTAATTGTTAGTCAGTTTGTCTGCCACACTCACTAACTCACTTTCACCCTCTCTCCATGCAACAGAAAACTTCTTGAAAATTTGATAATTGGTCAGATGGTCAAGAAAATCCCAACCTATTATAAAACCCAAAGAGGCCATTAGTGAACCATGTACTGAGCTAGTTGAGTCCAGTTCACACCCCATTTCTTTAAGATTTATTTTAAGATTAACTACCTTTCAATCAGTCTCTTGCCTTAAGTTCCTCTAACTAGAATGCTGTATGCATTTCTAATCTACCCCATTCATACTAAATGCTATGCCCACTGCTAAAATTCTTATTTGGATGATGATGAATTATTAGATTAACAAAATGCATGTCGTATTTACATTCAGCCATATTTCAGGAGGTTCTCAATCCCATTTTCTGCTCCTTTATTTAACATTTATCATAGAGTTACAAAGTTTGTAATCCTAATTTATACTATCCTTCACCCATCTCATTCTTCTTGATGTGGTGATTAATATTGTTTGGTGAACAGTATAGTGTTATCCCCCCCATCATTCTCTTACTTCTTCATGCTGAGTTCTGTACCTGTGAAAGAGCTTCATGGATGGTCGAGGCTCGCCACTTCCATTACACACGACCATCAGCACCACTGTTATTGTAACAGCAGTAAACATGCTATCTGTGCTAGATACTACTTGTAGTTCCTTATTCTGTAAATAAAGATCAACTACAATTAGTAGGGATGGATCTCTTATTTTAAAATAAGCCTCAACTTAATGAGGCTTTTGTGATTGCATCCTTGCAATATAATGTTATGAAGATTTCTGTCTTCTGGGTTGTTGCGCTGTGTAGTCTGGTCGATGTTAACCAACGTTTCAGAGGTCATACTGCCTCCGTCACCAGGGCGATGACGGAGGCAGTATGACCTCTAAAACGTTGGTAAACATCGACCAGACTACATGGCGAAACAACCCAGAAGACAGAAATCTTCATACTCTGATGACGGAGGCAGTATGACCTCTGAAACGTTGGCTAACATCGACCAGACTACACAGCGCAACAACCCAGAAGACAGAAATCTTCATACTCTGATGACGGAGGCAGTATGACCTCTGAAACGTTGGCTAACATCGACCAGACTACACAGCGCAACAACCCAGAAGACAGAAATCTTCATACTCTGATGACGGAGGCAGTATGACCTCTGAAACGTTGGCTAACATCGACCAGACTACACAGCGCAACAACCCAGAAATCTTCATACTCATCGCTGTGGAAATCTCAAATCTTACAATATAATGTTATGCTGGAGGACATCCCAGACAGCCTAATTACTTAAAAAGGCCAAGTTTAACCTTTCTCTCGCACCATATCCCCAAAAGCTGAAAGTTTGTTCATGCATATTCCCCTTTTATATTAGAATATTCATGATATTAATATTCACTAATATTTTTGTTTTAGTTCATCTTAGAAATGGTATTAATAAGTGAAGGTTGCAAAATCTAAAAATATAAATGCTAATTAAGTTTGATTGCTGCTGTTGTTTCTCGTTTAGCAAAGAGATAGAATTCAGGGACTCTTATATCTCATGATAATATGTAGATCATGTGTTTTATCCTGGAAATTCCTGGATTTAGTTGAAAACCATTGTGTAAGATGCGAAATGAAGGTTTGCCAAAGCAAAATTAGATACAGCAAGTTCTTAGTTAATGCATCCTGTGGATCACTGAAAGAAAGTGAACAAAGTGAGAAGCATTATTGAAAAAGAATTTCTTTAAATGAAAATTAAAGTAGCAACTTACATTCATGTCTTGAATTATGGTGTTCCAATGTATAATTTACACCAAATTTACAAAGTCGTAGGCCCAGTGCAAAAGCTAGGTAAGAGTATAGGATGAACTTCACTTAATAAATAGGTAGTTTGCTGTTTTATGATGAAATATGTGAAGAAACTAGCATGTAAGTGGCAGGATGCAGTTCTTAAATCCTCGACTAGGCCTATTGTAATCGGCTGGTTTATGTGGTTGAAGTTCCTCTAAGATATTTCAGGCTAGATATCATAGTTTTAATGAAGTATTTATGAAAACGCCTTTCACAAAAGCATAATTTTTAGTAAAAATTTCCTTGGATATTATCCATCGTCTAGTAAATATAAAACGTAAAACGACGTTTCGGAGATGGGACTCTATCTCCGTCTTCAGGTCGTTTTACGTTTTATATTTACTAGACGATGGATAATATCCAAGGAAATTTTTACTAAAAATTATGCTTTTGTGAAAGGCGTTTTCATAAATACTTCATTAAAACTATGATATCTAGCCTGAAATATCTTAGAGGAACTTCAACCACATAAACCAGCCGATTACAATAGGCCTAGTCGAGGATTTAAGAACTGCATCCTGCCACTTACATGCTAGTTTCTTCACATATTTCATCATAAAACAGCAAACTACCTATTTATTAAGTGAAGTTCATCCTATACTCTTACCTAGCTTTTGCACTGGGCCTACGACTTTGTAAATTTGGTGTAAATTATACATTGGAACACCATAATTCAAGACATGAATGTAAGTTGCTAGTGCACACAGGGGAGAGGTGGGAAATTGAAACGTTTTGTTTGAAAACCTTAAGGAAAACAGAAAACCTAGATTACCGGGCAGAGATAGAAAAATAATATTTTTGGGTCTTAAATAAGGCCCGAGATTGTGGACAGAATTCATGTGATAGAACATGACAATGAACATAATTTATTAATGATTCTTTTCAACGTGTTCTTTTTCTTTCAACCACTGAACCATCCGAAAGTGCATTGAAATCGATCGAAAATCGCATTTAATTTCATTCACAAGATTGTCACAGATTACTCACCGTCCATACACAATTGTCAGCAGCACATCGGCGTCAGCGGGTCGCAGGATGTTTCCGGTGGGCTTAACATTGAAATAACCCTTCTCGATTCCTTGCCGTGCCGGTGTGATCACTTAGAAGACTTTGATAAGATAAGCTTGTGATTCACAGCTCGAGATAAGTAGACTTTCGCAAGAAGCAGTGAACTGGTATCTGTAGTCGAAGATACTACTACTGCATTTACCTTTCCCATCCTTAACTCAACTGAAATCCACAAACCCTGTGGAACTCCAGAACCTACTCTCCAGGTTTTTTTTCCCAGCTGTAAATCCTAACGCGGGGGATTATTGCATTAACAACATATTTGAACAAACAACTCTACCGAGGCCAGAAAGTTAGGTTAGGACGTAATCGTAATTAGAACACTTTACGATTTGATAGTGACTTACGCAGTACGTCTTTGAAAGGTTTTTTTCCCCATGAGCATTGAACGTAATAAATCGACACCATGGCAAGATGCAAATAAATATGATATAAATAACGTTTTTACTCGCTTTGAAATTTTTTTTTTCGGATTTTTCTGGAACTGAATGAAACCAAGATTTCTGAATAGTCCGGGGCAGAAACTACGGTATTATCTTAAAAGAATTGTCAAACCCTTCAATTGCTCCTGCGCCATTCTTGTTCGGTGGTAGGTCTAAGCACTCGTAATTATTCTCGGTAAAAATGTTTCTGTACAATTCACTCGGTTTTTGCTGAACAATGAATTTAAAATATGAAAATGAATTACAATTCTTAAAACAGTTTGAAACAATCGACATCGCAGTCCTTACCAACAGATAAGATGACTTTAAAATCTTAGCAATGTTTCAACAGTCTTTTTTTCTGAGTTTTTCAGGTTTGGGACTTCAAAAACAAAACCACATTTATCAACAAATTCGACAAACGAATCAAACTTGGTTCGTAAATTTTATTTAATTTACCATCTAACAATATAGCAAACAACTTAATACGTCTGATTTTGTTCACTTCATTATTTATTAGCTCTATTAGTTGATAAACGAAGTTCTTAGTTTCTGTGTTTACCAGCAATCACCGGTTCTGTTTCTCGCCATTTTCAAAATTCTGTTGCACCTGTGTCTCAAATAATAGAATTTTTTTTTTCACGTTCGAAGTCATACGATTCGGATATTTTTTCGATCGCTGCTGAAGCGTCATGGTCCTTCGCAGATGTAGGTGTCTCTAAACGTGTTGCTTATTCAGTCGCCCTGTATTCGCTCACGATTTCCATCTTCGGAAGATGAGATTTCGTCGTCTCCACCGGCTCTCCACTTTCACCTACATCGTCAATTATTTTTAAAAATGTTAGAAGTGACTTAATTATAGATTCCTGGCTCTAATTCTGCTTTCGTTTTTGTTTTAAATGCACTGGATTCAAATTTTCTTCTGTCACGATCGCGTTTAAGACCCGACAATATGTGAAGAAAAGGCGTGAGGCTCCCGAGACCCTTGGCCTTCGCCCTCACCTCCTTCGACGCCTCACTTTCCCGCTTGGATTGCAGATTTGCGTGTAGCGAATCCTCGTGAGAAGTCGGTCCTAAGCACTTGACTTGTGAGGATTAAGGGATGCATCTCAAAACGATTTCTACCTAATATCATTCTATCTCACACCCGGCAGACGCCTTTTTCACTGCAAGAGTTTCCTGTAACCGAATTGCGTGAGCGAAGCACAACCTTACGAGGCCGTCGCGTCCGTTACGCAACATTGACCTCCTTGGTGAGTCCTAGCCACCCACTGTGCTAAGCTACTTCCGAGGACTGCAACCCCCCTGGGGTACCCCCAGATAATGCCCCCCACGCCTAATCCAACTTAAATCTTTATTCAGCTCCTGGGGTTTTACCACCCAGGCCTTCCTCCAGGGTGCTAGCGTTGTTGGGGCCTGGTACCCTGCGTCCCCTGTTCCTGGAGTTCTGCCCCCCAGACTTTCTATTATTTTCCTTGCCCACAAGGACTCGGAAATTCATTTAATGCCATCACAGGGCTTCGACCATTATGATGTGGATCTCAGCCGCTCCCCGCAAGCCTGTGCCCCTTCCAGGTTGCCTCACTTCAGTGTCCTGCCCTCAGTGGCATTGCTCCCCTGACATTTCATCCGCTGTTTTGGACACCTCTGAGTCCCTGCCATCTCAGGTTAAATCATGCAGATCAGTTATCCACACGGGCGAGGCAGACTCTTTAGACAAGCTGACCGATCCATGGGGCATGGCTCATCCATGTTCGTTCATACTCGTCAGATCATGATCATTACCATCATCGCCATAAAATCATCATAATCTTATGACAATCACCACCATAAATAATCTTATCACTTATCACTTAATCATCGTTACCCTTAAATAATCATGGTATATTCAATATTCACATAATCGTCATTTAATAATCCATCATCATTTAATCAATTTTAATAATCGTTCTTAACATTGTCGAATGTATCCAGTGATCCAGAGGGTGGGATATCAAACACAGTTGTTTCCTCAAGTCTAAGACGCCATCGGTTGTAAGACGCACCTTGGTTTAGTAAGAGGTTTTC